CCATTTTGAGGCTTTAATTTAAAAAAGAGCACGACATTGACATGACCATAAAAAGGTAAAGCTTCGTTGTTACCAAATATTTTCCCAGGATACAATCAAAGATGCTTGGGAGCCAGAAAAAATTCAATACATCACAGATTAATTGTATCCAAATATGAAGAAAAAGGGATCGCCAAATACATTTCAGAGGCATAAAATCTGTTCTCTTGTTACAGCAAAACCACCACTCTGTGGAGAATTCTCTTGGAAATAAGAGCTGGAAACTGCCAGTTTGCAAGGATGCAGGAAATACTGTCCTGGGGGAACAATACAAAAAATATGGAAAGACACAAATTCACCTCTGTGGAAAATGGAGAGCAGCTTAAGAGATCATCAAGAAGCTGAATAAGCTTGTTCCAAGATCTGCTACAGAGAGAACGAACGAGTGATGAGCAGAGAAGCAAGTTTCTGTGAGGGTTTTATTCACTGAAGGTGAGAAGGACCCAGCATTCCAGTTACTGGTGATAAAAGATGAAAATACAACTATTTGTCTAAAATACATGGTCAAAAATAGTTTGGAATCATCCCCAAAAGACAAGAATAAGTTGCTGACCTACCAACTAGAGAGATGCCTCTGAGAAAGGACTTGCAGGAGCAGTGTGAATGTGCAGTATTTGAAGGCCCCGTACAGCGTGTCTTCATCAACACCAAAAAACTGTTCAAGCTTCAAGAACTCACTGAGAAGAATCAAGCATCCCTCCTTGCAACTGGAGCTTAAAAATATTGTGTAGAAGGCATTATATAAAATAAATGTGCTTGAAGCTTTAATAAGAAGTCTCCAGGCACAGCTTACAATGACATTTCTCAGCATGACATCCCCATGCACTTCAAGAGTCTAGAAGATGATTCATATTTAATGTGTTTGTGGTACTGCACCAGGCAAAATCCTCCTGTTCCTGTCCCCTGAACAAAGAAACTTGTAATTCAAATAGCACAGTTTCTAGCAGTAAAACCAGATCCTTCCCCTCCCTTCTGCTTTCCAGAATGATAACAGAATTAGAAGCTTGAGACAGCAGCTCAGGGTATGAACTTTGCAGCTCAAAATCCTAGAGTTCTATTGAATTATACTTGCCTGTTTTGATATTCAGAGTGGGTAGTACCTCTTTTGTCTGGATTAATTAATGAGATACACATTTATTTAAAAAATTAATGAAAATCCAATCATTAACATTCCATTTTAATATTCTTAAAACTGTTCTGTAAATCACAAAACAAATTTCCAAAAGGAAGAACTAGAAGTCTGCCCCTGCAAGGTCATCACTGCTAAAAACAGCCCATCCTGCTCCTCCCAAAAAAACAGAAGTGAACTGCAGCAATAGGTATTTCTCACTTACACTGGGATTTACATGGAACAAAAGCCCACAGCAAAGTGGCTGACAGAAAAACCTCAAGAGAGTTGAATTTCAGCCAGAGCTTACCTTACCCTGTGTGTCGAGAAGCAGAAAACAAACTGCAGCTATTACAAGAGTAGCAAAAAGCTCTCACCCCCTCGCATCGTTCCCTGCAATGTAATCCTCTCATTATTGAGAGTAATAACATCTGCAACTGACCTCCCCATCCAGTGTGCCAGCAGCATTTCAAATTAGCCCTTCTCTTTAAAAACAGGAGTAAAGCAGATAACCCACAATGGAGATTGTGAAGACTGAACTATCCCTCCCCTACCACTTGGCCAAAATGTGAGGTTTCAGAGCAAGCAAGAGCTGAGTTTGGCTACAGGGACATGAGGTTGCCATAGTCATCTTCCCTCCTCACCCTATCATCTCTACAGTGTCAGCTCCCCAAAAATGTGCCTGGAGTCTGCTATTACAACTTGAGATATGCAAATGAATAGTCAATCTTGGTCTTTTAAAATATAAATGTAAAATACGTGTTCTCCTGGCTAGGCATATAGACATGCACAAAGTCCAGGCTGACTTTTCTCTTATTTTCCTGTTAAGAGACCAGAGCCCAGCCCAGACAGACACCTCATTGCTGCATGAGGTTGGGTGACAACAAAAACATCGTAGTGACTTTTCAAAGACACTACAGCAACTCTAAAACAATTACAGAAAATAGTAAAACATGATATGCACTTTTATCTAAAGAGGTGGTATGGCTACTGCAAGAATGCAGCCAAAACGCTTGTGTCCTGTTCTCCTGGGGAAGTGGAGAGATGTGGGCGCAGAAGAAACACAAGTAACCTCAACAAAAAGCAAAAGTGCTCCTGGAACTCTGGAAGTCAGCTGAGAACACTGGAGAAGAGAACTGAGAACTCTCCTGCTCCTGGGTAGCTGCTTGCTGCAGGCACATGCATCAGTCCACAAGTGCCCAGTTCTGGGTGGCTTACAGGAGAAATCCCCACCACTCACTACACAGCAGAAATCTGTGGGAGGATTTTACACCAGGATTGTAAAACCTCACTGTGATCCACTGCAAGGAGTAAATTCACCTCTCCTTGCACTCCTACCTACAACGTCTGTATATATCAACGTTCCTTCCTCTGTTTGTAAGAATTTATCCCCAGCTTTCCAGAGAAAAAAGGTCTGGCCTCAGACTTACCAGAAACACTCAACCATCTGTCCACCTTTGGGATATAATATATTTTATGTATATATTTTTATAGAGCTCTACCTTACCTCCCAACACCAGAGGGAGGAGCAGGGACTGTTCTTTTCAGCTTTCTGCTCTGTGCCTGCTTTTGGAACACAGCCTACAGACCTGTTTTGCAGGTTAACATTTCTCTAAGGTGCAGGTATTTTCTTCAGAGGATTTGGTGGAGAAGTGGAAAAAAAAAAAAAAAAACCCACCAAAGCAAACCAAGATGCTGCACTAGAACCATCTATTGGTTATCCTGCACTGGCCAAAAGGCAGAGGACGAGCCCTCCCTGATGCCTCTGGGAGCTGGGCACCCCCTCCCTAGCAGGAGCAGCAGCTCCACGGCACGGGGCTCGGGCTCAGCTCTCCTCACTCCTGGGCACAGCACAACTCGCTGCTGAATGATCCTGGTCATCACAATGATGTGTTTATAAAAGACCAAGATTCAATTGTTCCTGCCCTGACTGGGGTGGGCAGTGACGTAAGCAGTGAGAACAAAACTAGGCTTTGACTCTTTGGTGGTTTTTGTCCGGTTGGCTAAACACAACTTTTAACAACTTGGAGACCTGAACTTGCTTGTGCTTAATAATTCTGATTTCGATTTTAATGGTCCCCAGAAACCTCACTGTCTCATCACAACACTGATGGAAGGTCCCCAAAGCCACCATTCGGTGGTATTGGCCTGAAGTGGGTGAAACTACACCATCTCTGACACTCAAAACTGCTCTAACTGAATCAGTAGCTGCTCTTTCTGCGTTAAAAAAATCTCTATGCTATTTTTTAAAGCTGTTCATTCCAGTAAGTTGTGCTGCAGTTTACCCCAAACACGGCTAACCCGTTCTCAGGTTTTTTAGAAGGAACTGGACTGGCTGTTAGCAGACACTAAATACCTGGAGATAACAGACATTTAGTTCCATTCAAGTTTTTAAGTCTTTTTTGTTAGATACAGAATTAATCAGCAGTTCACATCTATCTGTGGATTTAGAGTGTAACAGGGTTTGTGGGATTTTTTCCACTTGTTTTTAAGATATGTGTTTCTAAGGGATTTGGTTGCTGCTATGTCTTTGAACCAAACTGATGATTAAGTACCTTGATTTCAGAAATATATGCCCAAATATTTTTTTTTATTAAGTGATATAAAAATATCAAATCCTTTCAATATAATAAATAAAACATCAAATTGTTTCAATGACCGAAGTTCCACTGTGCACAGTTAAATCCACAGGTTCTCTCAGAAGAGGTCTGGCAAAACATGAATGGTGAGCAGTGCTGTAAAGTTTCTCTGACAAGTCTACAGTCACTTCAGTTTCTGATCAGGACTCCTGTACCATGCAAATCTGGGAAACATTCTCATACAAACATTTAATGCATATGAACTCAGAGAAAAAAAGAATAATGCAGCTATGGGAATCCTCACCATAAATATATAAATTTTTTTGCAAGCAACAATTTAAGGCCAATTAGGAAAGTGGGACATGACCTTGGAAGAAATAGGGGAATCAAATTATGCAAAAAGCCCTCTTATCCAATGAAGAAAGATGCATCTATCATGAGCATAATAATTTTTTCCTCATTGAACAGATGTTTACAGAAAAATTACTGACAAGAATTCCAGATGCAAACCAGCACTACGGGTAACCTCCTAAATCAAGCCTTTGCCCTTAAACCCTCACTTTTTTATATTTGATGAAGATCAACAGCAGAGCCTCTAGACTAAGTCTAAATCATGGCTGGGAGTAAGATAAAGATAAAAAGGTCATGCCTCATTTTTGTATGCTGTCAATTAGAAAAATAACTAACCATGTCAGTTTGCACTAGTGCTATCCTGACACACGTTATATTCTCCTGTACCTGAGAATTTTGTAATACATTACAAAAGAGAGCTGCGTGTGAATGGAGTTTAAACATTAAGCTCCCTCAAGCCTCTTAAAGGAAAACATGACCTTTCCTCCTCTTTGCAGTTTGGTCAAAGCTTCACGGCCCAAAATGTAAGCTCCCATTCTGTTTTTCACCCTAGCTAGAACACGCTGTTTCACAGTCGGCCAGCGTTCTGCCTTAGCTCCAGATTGGTATTTATCACCTTGGAAGACAGGTTGCATTCTAGGAGGTAACAGGCCTGTGCTGCATAACAGCAGAATGGCAAAATAGGTGACTTATTTCATATGAGGAGAAAAATATAGACAAAAAATACACCAATCATACACATAGATACCTAATAATTTAGACCACCCAGTTTAGTTTACTTTCTACTATCTAAATTCTCCTAGAATGAACTCTGTTACTTGTCCACAGGCTCTTTTTTTACAATCGAAACTTTGCCAGCACTGTTCATGTTGGCCAGAACGTTAGAAACCTTAACAAAGAACTGAATAAATGAGAATGCTTACCAGCAGCAACTACAGCTGGAGGCGGCGAACCTGCCTCGCCACCACTTGTTTGGCTCATGGATGCTACAGATGTTTCTCTGGAAGGTGGTAACTGCAGCTCCTTTGGGAGAAGGTCATAGACAGATTCTGTTGAACAAAAATCATTTGATCAAAAATTTGTCCATGCTAAGGGACAAGAAACAATGTTTTCACTTAAGAGATATGAACAATAATCCAACCATTTCAGAATCTTTTGGAAGAGTTACGTTAGGCATTTGGAGTTGTTAACAGGGTGGAATAAAGCTACTTCAGAAAACAAACCAACTACAAAAACATGAAGATACTCATTCTCAAGGCTGAAACAAAAGGACACAAACTTGTTCAAACCCACAAGTCCCTCATGAACTTCCCCAGCACCTGCACTCACCCAGCGTGAAGGAGCTGACAGTACGTACCATGAGTCACGCGAGACTCACACAAACCTGCTCTCAGATTCAAATTGTGCAACTGGCTTTCAAAAAAGAAAAAAAAAAACAGCCTAATTATTACCATCATCTGCAGAACATCCTCTAAAGTCTTCCCATGTCATAAGTGCCAGTTCTCGTTATGTAAGATCCCTTGCTTCCATTTATCTACAATATTTCTTTTTGGCTCAGGCTCTCCCGTAAGCTCACGCTGATGCTCCAGGGGAAGCAGTCTGCTCCAAGGAAAGGGCCAGTGCCAGTCCATCTGACACAGGGAGCCCTCTGATGTGGCAGATCCTGCAGAGTAGTAGGACCTCTAAGGAATATTTTTGTGACTCCTCCATGGTGAATCAGCTATGGCCACCACACCCACCACCCAACAGCTTCAGCAGCCACCGCACCAGAAGCGACAGGGAGATGTAAAGAACCTACAGGAACAGCTACAAACTGAACCTACAATTCTACACCATAAAACTTTATGAAATTCCTTTATATGTATTATTTAGATACTGGAGAAAGATACAGCAAACTCAATGTGTATTGAGTAACTCAATGTGTATTGCAAAAACTCAATGTGTATTTCCCTAGAAATCAACATTTATATTCAACTGATCCTAAAGTAAAATCTATTTGGGCAGCAATTCTGTAAAAAATGTGAAAACTCAGTGAGCTGCTCACTAACCAGCTTTACTTGCATTGGGCCCTGGGAAAAACAAAACAGGATCAGGACAAATGCACAGGTACACACACCCAGCGACAGAGCACTGTACTGAAATGCAACACACCCCAAATGCTGGTTATGCCACAAACCAGAGCAGTTACTGTACTGGGTAACAGTGCAAATACTCCCACCATTAACCAGCACAAAAAGAGCCCAAGAAAAATGAATTAATTACAGGATGTTTCTTGTCTTCTATACACAAAATCACAAGCAACTACCATCAACACCTATGAACCAGCCACGAGGTGTAACTCCTCAGCTCCACAGCCCCTCCGACTTCTTCCCATCTGCTGAAGTATTTTCTCTTTTGATTCCACTTTTCAGTACTGTGACAAATAAACAAAACAGAACATTTTTTTAATCCAGAAGGAGCGCATCTGATCCAGCACCGTTTCATATTCTACACAGTTGGATTCACAGCTTTAACAACTGGGAGGATGATGTAAAATCCAGACCTGGGAGCCAGGAAGCCCCACTACCTCTTCAAACAGTTGCTGCACTATAAGGACAACGTAATTTATCAACAGGTGTCACTGCAAATCCAAATCTGGCTTAAAATAAAGAATCAGAGCAAGAACCCCATTAACACACTCACACTGACCACTCTGGGCATTTGCAGTCTTGGTTCCCTCTTCCTTCCCTAAGCTGTGAAGCCAGACCTCGTGCCCAAAGCCCAGGGCAGTTACAGGAGATCAGAACATGTGTTGGCACCTTCCCAACAGCAAGCCAGCCTAACTGCACCCAGAGCCACCTCACCTCTACATCACAGCAACGCAGCCAGCACTGCATATTCTGCACGTGTTTGTTATTTGTCATGCTGCATTCTGAGAAAGCTTCTCTGAACCATGAAATCCCCAGCAGTTTTCAGAGAAAACCTTTAATTATTTCCATATGGAATGGCTCCTATAAGCTTGGCCACTGGCATAGCTATCAATAAGTCAAAAAATTCTCCAAATAAAACATGGCATTCAGAATCCACAAGGTATGTGTGGATCCTTTTTCTGATGAACTATACTTGTTCTTCAAGATGAGCATCTTAATTCCAGAGACGGAGAAATGAAAGGTTCAGATTTTGTCCCTGCAATGAACAGCACAAATACTAGCCAAAGAAAAATACAGTTATGACCTGAGGGAGTCCCTAACCCTAAGGACCCTAACCTGCCATGGAAAGCACAAATGCCAGCAGAAGAAAGATACAGTTATGAGATGAGAGAATATTTCCCTACTTGACACCTCTAGGCCTCTAAGTTTATGTTTAGTGACGGGCCCCAAAATGAGAGATCTTAACACAGCACGTGTGCACACACGCAAGTGGAGAAACCTTTGTGTTTTCTGTATATATTGCATATATATACACACACATTTTCACTCCTCTCTGTTGTATCTCAAGAAATCCTCTTTGAGGAGAGAGCTGCTCATCATCATAATTCTGTCACGACTTGTAAGATATTTGGCATCAATTACAAAGCCCCATTTCCAAAAGCTAAATTATTAGGTAAGAGTGAGCTTTTCTGCTTGGGTTGCTCATTGGTTTGTGGGGGTTTTTTTGTTTAAATAATTTATTTTAACCCTCAAATGTGATGAAGGTTCTGTCAAGTTTGCTGCTTTAAAGGAATGCTGAGATCCAAAACTCCCACAGCATATTCTTTCTCGAGGAACACAATTTTAGAAGTAACCCACAAGAAGCACAGTTATAATCTTTGTGAATAATTCTAACAATATGATAAAGACAGGGAGGGAAACGCCAGCATTAAAATCAAAGCACATTCCCAAAGATCACAAGACCATTAAGAGTAAATCTTTAATTTCATGCATCACTGATAAAAGACCAAACTACTTGAAACATGGTCTAAAATACAACACCTAGTTTATATCCCAAGACCCTCAGATACCACACCTAAACTCAGTGATGTGCCTACATTGGGAAAAGGAGCTGGCACCAGCCCTGTCAGCAGTAAACAGGAGAGGACTGAGCAAGCCATCAGGAGCACACTGCCGAGGTGTGTAAGTCACTAAGAGGAGAACAAACAGCACCATGAAGGTTCAAACCAGAGCAAAGCCCTGCCCACCACCAATGCCTCCTCTGCCCCCAACCCTGTTCTCCCAGGCCTGTCTCTCCCTCTAGGCTCATGGCTCCCCATGACTTCCCCCAGCCTCAGGAGTGTGAGGAACAGAATGTAAGAATGTCACAAACAGGAGGGAGGGAAAATATGGGATGTCTACTTGGTAGCACACGAGAAGGAAAAGAGATCAAAACCATGGGATTAACACAACATGGGAAAGATATGGACTTGCTGGAGCAGGGCCAGAGGAGGCCACGGAGACGATGTGAGGGGGGAACCCCTCTGCTGGGATGTGAGGCCAGGCTTGGAGAGCTGGGCTTGTTCAGCCTGGAGAAGAGAAGGCTCCAGGGAGACCTTCTGGGGGCCTGACAGGACTTCAAGGGGCCTGTCAGAAAGCTGGGGACAGACTTTTGAGCACAGCCTGTTGCGACAGGACACGCGGTGACAGGTTTAAACTAAAAGAGGGAGATTTAGACTAGAGAGTAGGAAGAAATCTTTGATGCTGAGGGTGGTGAGCCTCTGGCCCAAGCTGTCCAGAGAGGTGGTCGCTGCCCCATCCCTGGAACCATTCCAGGGGAGGTTGGCCGGGGCTCTGAGCAACCTGCTCTAGTTGGGATGTCCCTGCTCCCTGCAGGGGGTTGGACTCAATGACCTTGAAAGGTCCCTTCCCACCCAAACCAGTCCATGATTTTTTATGAATGCATGGCAGAAGTTTAAGACTAAGTCCAAACTTTAAGGGAAACAAAAAAAATCTCATGGCGTTTCTTCAGAACAGATGTCATTTCAGAACCTAACCCTCATCTTCAGTGAGCTGGATCACCAGGAGCTGCTACATCAGCACCTCTCTGAAATCGTCTGGGGACCTTTAAGAAAACTTACTGCAACAAACCTGCTTTGCACAAATCTGACTTCAAATGAAACTCTGTGCTTTCACCTAAACACAGGCCAATGTTTATATATGCTGCACTATAAATAGCATTAAAGCAAAAACTGACAAATTCCAGAAAGATTAGAGTTGTTGCAAGGAAACTAATGTCTCCCCAGAGGACACAGTTTCCCTCCTTGGCTGGTATCATATTTAAACAGCTACAGCTCCCTCCCCTACTGACCAGCTCACCTCCAGCACCAGGTTTTACACCTGTGTGCACACACAAACACTGAGCATATGAAATTTTCTTCGATGATTTTATGTTTATTCATGTAGAAAACATTCACAAAAAAAAAGAAAAAGGGTGTAATATAAGTGCAGTACTACATTTGAAGGTAAAAATAAAAATTCAGCATCATTACGCATTTCTATCTAATTAGCAAGAAAAAAATTATGTAGACAGAATTCCTGTTTTCAGCACCCACTGTGTTGAATCAACAAGTCCAATTTTCAGCCAGCTGACTGCACAAGATCGCTTGGAACTTCATCCTGATTTCAAATCCTCTTGACCAATATATTAGTTGATCTCAAGTGTCTGGGTTTTTTTGCTAGAAGTAGCTCCACTTATACCCAACAACTCTAAACATTCCATACAGGAAGAGAGAGGAACATGTGTCTCTGAATTACTGGTATTATGGAAACACAAACAAGATTGACACACAAAGAGAAAACAAAACACAGATGATGAGCCAAGATCCACACACACTCATTTCCACAAACCTTCACCTGCACTGGTGTAACCAGTCATGAGATGCTCCATTTACAATAAACCTCTGAAGCTCAGCTCTCCCCAAAAACACCTCACCTAGGATAAGTACAGGAGCTTCACAAATTCTGCTACTGAAGTCAAGGACACATAGGACAGGCAGATTGACAAAAAGCGTAAGTGTCAAATTTCTTCAACTGCCCTTTATCCAATTATCCCAGCCCAATAATCTCTCATCCGAGATCAGCTGCTTCTAACTT